TTTGTGAAATTTAGAAAACGTAGATCACAGATTTGCTATTGAAGTCGTAGAATGAAGGCGTCTCATGAAGCACAATTCCATGTGGGTCGACTGACTTTCCTGCTCATTTATTCCCTTGACTGAGATCCACCTGGAATGTGGTCGGTTCGGTTCTTTGGGGCCTCTGAATGGATTTTTCCCTCTATCGATGTCGTCACTATCTTAAGAAGTTTCAGAAATGTGGAAGGTATTACGTTTGAAGGACCCAGGGTTTTTGGCGATATTTTCTTGGCATATGCTCAAAGTTTAAGCATTTTCTCTCACGCTCCATGCGTGCGTAATGGAAGAAGACGTTTTTACGGTGAGTTATTGTCTTAATGGGCTTCGACGACACCATCGTTCTGCAGATTAGCGTTCATCGAAACAACAGTCTCTATGCTGAAAAAGAGCTTTGAACGAAGTTCTACCCTACCAGAAAACGGCTTCTGTGCGAAAACCAGACCGGATCCTTTGATAGATGATTTACTACAGGTCTGTGGAAAAAAGATGGGGTAGGGAACCGCCACCCCACGCATGAAAAGCAACTACATTCCAATGGAATTAGGATGCCACAATGTGTCGGTGGTTCGACATGACTGAACCGGGTCAGAAGTGAAGACGCCAAGTTGGTTACGCAACCTGCCCCTTACCATCGAAAAAACGCGAAAGTAGCACTGGCGTTGGTATGAGCACGTGCTGAGAAGGTCACAGAATCACTCGTAAATGAAGGCAATGGAAACTGAATCACAGTCTCCATGGAGCACCAACTGAAGAGATGGAGAGACTTGGCTAAGTAGGACCTCCTCAGGGCCGAGTTACAGGATGCCTTCTATAGGAAGGGATGGCGACAAGTTCCAATCCTCCAGCCAAGAGGGATTCTCACTAGGGAAGAGAAAAAGAAAACCCCGCGCCTGGTCTCTGATGTGATTACCACCTGACAGGCGTAACATCGGCTGTTTTCTCCTGAACTCTTAGGTGATTGTCCAATTTTATGTTCGTTTGTGACCGTTTAGTTCCTCACAAGTCATTGTAAATGCCAAATGCACTTGCAAGTCTTTCACGGTTACGAGAAGAAGTCGATGATGTGGCGTAACCAAAAGTAACCCATTGAAAGCTGATAATTCGAAAATTACTTCGTTGAATAAGTGATTTTACTCTGGAAATTAGTTGATTAGTTGTGAACTCACTCGACTAGTCGTCTGCAAATCGGCCCCTGACAGCCTGGCAGGATGAGCATGATGAAAATCCCATTCCAAAGGTTTTAGATTTTAANATCTGCATTGATTCCCGTTTGAAACGGCTGATGCTTTTAGATGCCTAGCTCTCCACTTCTTTCAACGGGTTGTACTCGTTGTTCAAATGAGCCGAAGAGTTACTTATCAGCATTCCACCAAAGTGATTCACCTATAAGGTGACAGAAGAAAGTGTGGGCATGGCGATGAGTATGAAACTGTTGGGTTCTCAAGGATGAGGTGGACCTTGTGAAAGGAGGGTCGTGAGAAGCGAAGTCGTGGTAGGCGAGCACAAAGCAGTAAGAGGGTGCAGAGTAGTTACCGCTTGCGATAACTCATCAGGAATTTGCCGAATTCTTACAAACACCTTTTTTCATGGTAATATGAATGAGGTTCCATGTCGGTTGAATCACCTTGTAAATGGAAACGTCCTGACCGGATTTCCATGGTGATTAACGAAACCTCCGGGACATCTCCGGGGTACGTCCCATTACCGAGGATACCTCCGTACAAATGAATGGTGTTTGTAAAGCAGATGATGAGATTGTCGTCGTCATGGACGCCATCGTCGACATCGTTGTTGTTGTCTCATTACGACATCTCTGCCTGTTGATTCTCAAAAACGAGTTCCGTGACGAAGACGACACCGACAACGACGAGCTTCTAGTCGTTTCGAAACTGAACAGGTCATTAATCTGTTCAGTTGATGGCACTTAAAATGGATTCGTTTATGTTTGGAAACTTCCCAACGGAAAACATAAAACAAAGCAAGTTGCGCCATGAATTAGTCATTCTTGCTACAATGGTTGCATGAATGAACCCTTTGTATTACTAGTTCAAAAGAAGCCAGATAGTAATGAATCCAATACTTTTCTAGTCCTATGCAATCTCTCGTTGCCTTTGAACTTAGTTCGAACGAGCTAGAATGTAGATGGGACCTAGCGGGAGCCGATCCTGTAGGCAATGCAAAAGCGAACTGAAGCACTTAGCCACTACTCAATAGCATTCCTTCGTTGAATAAATAGGTTTGATGGAAAACAAAGTTAGTAGAAACATTTGCTGAAGTGAAGTATAGCTCTATCATTCGATTCGTATAGACTACGCCATGCTTTCAACTTCTCTTTAAAATTAATACTATGTTTGGAAATGACAATGGCTCAGGAGGCGAAAAATCCAAGATGTCAGAGCCGCAATTGCTGTATTTTGTCCCTCTCAATAAAAACGAGTTGGGCCGTAAATATTTGGGCCATGACGGAGTGAAAGTAATTGACAACAAGAAAAAAGAATACTTCATAGCCTCGTGTAAGAAAGCTTGAGCGAAAGCCAAGATCCAGGACGTTTTCGTATTGGGGTAGGTTTGTATGGCCTAATATCCTCTTAGGTTCCTAGACACCTTCTCAGGGAGGAGGCCAAGACCTCGAGACTTTGGGATCTCACATTACCTTCTAGAAAAAACGAATTGCTTCGAGTGGTTCCATGTTCGTGAAAGAACTGTGGAGCAAACGAACTAAAATGAAGAAAAATCAATGTCATCAATCAATAATTCGGAGCAGTCATTTCACTGAATAACACAGTCCCAACGACCGTACTCAGTCTGTGTAGATTTAAGGGGTGCTCAAGAATTCCAAAAATGTTAGATGGAAGAAAAGTGCCGAATTAAGGAGTTACTCGACAAAAAGTGGGCCGTCCGCACATTTTCAGGGCATAGTAAACACCTAATTGTAAGTATCGCTGGAGATGCAACCAAGATCCATGAGTATCGATAGATTAGTGAAAGATTGTGGAACTAAGGGTCTCGGGTCGATAGGGTGCCAGAAACAGAGCAGCAGACGCTTCCCATTGTCCAAAAGTCTTGCCTTTTTCTTTTGGTAGAATGTTTAAAGCAAGGCTAGATCGCTAACGACTGGTTTTCTTGGAAACTCTGCTTTGTTCTGATGAAGCCGACCGGACAACATGTATGCCAATTATAACTGCGCACGCTTGTAAGAACAAGGCAGCCGTTTCAAACTCGTATTTCCTAACTAGAACTCTCTACAGGCTTAGGACTACTCGACTTAACGGGGATTGATTCGCTGCCTAGTCTGATCAAAGAAGCCAGCTCGATTCAAGCCAACGAGAACGGAGTTAGAAGACCTGGTCCTCACAGGATAGACTAAGCCGCTTAAGATTCTATCATACATCATAAGAATCATGCTATCGGACCAATCGTCGTAACAGCCACGTTCTCACGCCCCGAACCAGCTGCCCGTGGACGGAGGCGTGGCCGTCGTGGCTGTCAGAATCCTATAAAAGGACATGATGCTGAGGACTAGACAGTGTGTGAAGATGTTTGAGGAGAAAGTCATCGTCGGTGTGGCTTCGGCCTGCTCCATTCTTGCGATCGTCGCCTGCTTGATCGTCGTACCATCGCTATACAACACCATCAACGAAGTACATGATGAGGTCCTCGATGGAGTCTCTGTGTTCCGTGTTGAAACTGATTCTGCCTGGACTGAGATGATGGACATCCAAATAACCGTCACCCCACCATCAAAGCCTCGCACAAATCCCTTCAACTCAATCTTCCGTCAGAAGAGACAGGACTTCTCCGGACTGCCAGCCTGGTGCCAATGCGAGCCCGTCAAGCCAACTTGCCCACCTGGACCTCCTGGACCACCTGGAGAGCCTGGACAGCCCGGTATGTTGTTTTTCCTTCCCATAATTTTTCATATTTTATTTGTATGTTTTGATTCACACCTTTATAGTGCCATCAGACTAAGAGAAATGTTTCAGGAACACCCGGACCTCCAGGACCTCCTGGTGAGGATGTCACCTCTACCTATGCACCAATCACCTGCCCACCAATGGATACCTCTTGCATCAAGTGCCCAGCTGGACCAGCTGGACCACCCGGACCCGATGGACCAGCCGGAAATCCCGGACCCGACGGTCAACCCGGAGCACCCGGATCGCCTGGCAAAGACGGACAACCCGGACCAGCCGGCCCTGCTGGAGATGCTGGTGCTCCAGGAGCCCCAGGAAAGGATGGAGAGCCCGGAGCTCCCGGACAAGACGGTACTCACGGACGTGGTCAACCTGGACCACCTGGACCAGCTGGAGCCCCAGGAGCCCCTGGAAACCCAGGACGTGACGGTCAGCCAGGACAGGCCGGTGCTCCCGGTCCACAAGGACCCGCTGGAGAAGCTGGAGCCCCTGGAGCTCCAGGAAACGATGGACAGCCTGGTGCACCTGGAGGACCCGGTCTTCCAGGAAGCGATGCCGCTTACTGCCCATGCCCACCTCGCTCAGCTGTGTTCGTGTCTCGATTCACTCACTAAGTCGACTGTTCTGCTGTTCTACGTACATTTCGCTTACGGTAAATGCCGTAATAGAAAGCGATAAAATAAAGCAACTTTCGGCATTCTGTTCCTTGTACACAGTTGTATGACTGCACAATTGTACGATATTCTTCCTAGAAGCAATTCTGCAAAGACATTTGGACATTTGGAAGAGTTGGCGTTTCGTGCTGAACGATTTTTGGTAGGGAAGCGTGGCACCTATGAAAACGCTTGGGTTTATATGTGTATTACCAAAATCTAGTGTTAAACGATCGATTGATTTTATTTACCATCGGAAAATTAACACAAACATGGCGTACTGTATGAGTATTGCGGTTGCTAGAAGTTGTTGGTTGTTGTTTTGGACCTATAGGATCGACTCGTGGCTCCCTAACGAGACCTACAACCATGTCAAGTGATAAAATGAAGTCTTTGGCGTTAATCGATACCGGTTTTGGGATGCGCCACACACTGGACTTCCATTTAAAATAGAGTAGTGGCGTTTTGATTGCGTATGTTGCCTATACAATGACTTGCACTGGCCTACAATTAAGCAATCAGCATTCATCTACCACACGAATCTGGCAGCAACTAATCGATCCGTAGAGGCTTAAACGAGTATCAATCCGGAATCGATCTCCAGATCAGTCATGTGTGAAAATGTAGCTTTTTACCTCTAGGATATCATCCGTCCTAGATCCTAGGTAGTAATATAGTAGTGTAGGTGAATATCGCGGTGCTATTGCAGTCAGAATGCTCCCAGGAATGAGTCCCATTCAGGTTTCATCTTTCCAAGCTTCTCCACCTCTTCGTATGAGCACTCTGATGATGTAAAAAGGGAAGCTATTGACAGTTAGTCATTTTAAAAGGGCATACTTTTCTTAAAACTTACAAAAAAGCAGACAAAAGTTTTTGATATTATCCATCACCTTGTGGAATATGCCCGTGCTTTCAAATTCTAATCAAGTTACGACAGCCTTCGCTGATTTGGGGTGCCCTACGGAGTGTAATGATTTTTTCAGGTTTGAAAGAATCAGGTTTTCACAGTGGGTAGCAGCCGGCTTGCCCCTGATGTAATGCCCGATTTTTCTGGTTGCGAAAAATCCGAAAAAAGTGGTGCAGAGATAGCGGCAAGTAGCGCATTATCACATATGTAGGCATGGGCCGGGGAACAATCCCGGCTTAATAATCGCTCAGGCCAACCAAACTTCCCACTCAACTGAGTCGCTCGTTTGGTTTCAGAGTTGTCTTGTAACATAAGTGCACTGACTGCTCACTATAGGCTACATACTCATTTGAAACGCACCTGCGCTATAGAAGTCATGTGTGGGGCGCTCCGCGGAAACGATTTTAGTTGATATCAAAGTCTTTAAGACCTTATTTTATATGGAGTTTCTATGAAATTCGGTATATAATCCTCAGGTGACCGGTTTGGCTATCAAAAAAAATTATCTACCAAGTTTGACAGTTTGTGCTCCTTTTTTCTACCAGGTTGTTTGAGCGAGATTCATTGAGATCTTTATCGGACTTTTTTTGATTAGCATGGTCTTTGAGCAAAATAGCAGCGTAGATAACATCAACTTACCAATTTTCTAAGATGTTTGATCTCCTGCTCAACTATACATATGTATTTATTACATTTATGCAGTTTCGTAGCCTTGTGTTCTCTAGCATGCGGGGAAGACTGTGAAAATAGTTGTTGCTTATGATGCGGTTTGGGTGTTCCCGAATAAGTCGCCTTTTCAGGAGGACCATGACTCTATTCAGGGATTGGATAGCTCGTGGCACTTTTTCAAACTTTCGTCCTCCTGGAAAAGTGGGAAGAAAATGAGTGCATGACTCCTCCCAAGGCTACTGCCCCAAACAGTAACTCCTATGATATACCTCTATAGCAATACTGACATAATTGTATTACTTCGAATGGAGACATACAGCCATTTGCTGCTGGCCTACGAAAGGTTGTACAAAATAACCCCATAGCCGTAGGATTAGAGTAGAGTTAAGCTCAGTCGCAGAACCTGTGGCGGAGACGTCTGGGTTAGAGAAAAGGAAAAAGCATACTGGTTGATACGTTAGGTAATTTCTCCCTTATCCTGCTTACCTCCTTCAGCATATGGGCTCCTAGGACTCGTTTAGAATGTGGGTTAAGGAGGATGAGGGTCATAATTTGGTTTCCGAAGGAGATAAGCCGTGATGACTGAAGCATTTTTCGTGCGACTTGNGAAACTAGAGAGAAGAGCCCGATGGCCCGATTACATCTCGCCATTACGACACAAGGGATGGGGATGGTAGAGAACTGGCAAGTAGGTTCGCTGAGATACTATGCCTAATGAATAGAAAGGGTGGTAGACTTCATGCTCGAAACATGCCTTTAGTAGCTGAGCTCCTGGTTTCCACATTTCTGATTTGAAAACTTAGGCTTTTGTGTTGATTTTGATGAGGGAAAGATATGACTTTATAAGTGTAGCGACTGTCAGAACTATCCAATCTTTAACGCGGAGACGGTGGAGAGGCCAGTAGGGCAACACTACAAGTGCACGCCCGAGAATCGAGTCTTGAATCGACATCGGTCCAGTCCTTCAAGCCTTCTATCCCTTCAGGTCCGGTTAACTGGCACCAGACTCGTCGGAGGATGAAAGCATGAACTTGTTCATCGGCTGGCCTTTGCAATCTATTACATGATTCCATAATGGTTCATTACGATTTTGAATTGAAGTTGGATGCGTGGCGCATCCTGAAAATGAGATTTATCAAAGCCAAAACCTTGCCTTGC